CCGCTTGGGAGTGCAGCGGCGCTCCCGCCGAGGGTTCGGATCCCACATACAGACCGGTTCCCGCTCACTGGCTGAGCGAGGTGTGGGCGCGACACCAAGGGTTGCGATCCTGTTGCCGGTCCTGGTCCGGTACGGGCGCGACACTGAGGGTTGCGATCTGTTGCCGGACACGAAAAAAGACAAAAAGGTAAAAAAATAAAATAAAATAAAATAAAGTAAATCCACTTTCCTTTTGGAAGCACTCTGGTCCCCTGCTCCCTCTGATTCGGTTGCCTCTGGCCCATTGCACAGCCATTGCCCTGGGGTTCCTCTATACTCCACTGTGAGTTAGGGCTGTTTTCAGTCCAGTGTCTTTCTCATTCTTGTATTCTTTGTTTTTTGTTTTCATCTTATTAGAATACAGACCCAATTATTTTGAAGAAAATATCTATTGGGGGGTGGGAAAACTTTTTAATACTTTATACATATATATTAGAAAATGTTTTACCCTCATATTTGATTGATAGTTTGAATTTCACTTTTAAAAGTATTTTGTCTTGTTCTGCTCAGCACCCATGGCCTCCATTCAATCTGGGGATGGTGTCTTTATTTTATCTTTATATCTTTATTTCTTTTCCTTTGTGCCTTTTTGGAATTCTTGTTAATCAGATAGTAAAAATCCTATCCTGATCTTCTGTCTCTTAACGTTTTTTCTTATTTTCCCTATTTTTGTCTTTTTACACTATTCTGAGGTTTTCCTCTAAACTGTTTTAATTTTGCTGATCATAATTTTAATTTCCAGTTACTATTTCTTAATTCTCTGATTGCTTACTTTCCATAGTAGTCTATTGTTGTCTTATAGATTCAATTATCTTCTTAAATTCATCTGAGAAAACTAATAAGAATTTCAAAAAATTCTCTGTTTCCTGAATTATCTCAGTTTTCCCCTGGATCATTTTCTTTTTCCTTTTTATTTTTGTTTTTGTACATCCTTCTATTTTGTATTTTGGCTTTCCAAAATGTTTGATGATCCTTTATTGTCTGTACATATTTATGAATGAAGGCGTGATTGCTAATGGGGATTTCTTCTGCCTTTTGTAGTTGCTTTGGGATTCTAAGGGGATACTGGGTTATGCCTGACCTATGTCCTTGTTCTCTGAATATTGTGATCTCCTGCTGTTTTGTCTATAAATACTGTCCCATCCACTCTCTTTCTTACAGAAATTAGTCAAATCTCTGTTCTCTTGTTCTTAATGCTATAGTGGATTTTCTTTTTTCATATTCTTTACTGTCATGTGAATGGGATCTGAGGAAGATAAATGTGTATGCACAATCTCACACTGAATTTTAACTGATGTTTATTACTACTTATCAGCTTTTAATTTTATGTATTCTGCCTTAAAGAGAACAATAAAGACACATAACTTTCTCATGTAGTTTATTTGGATGCAAAAAGCCCCATGCCTGTTCCTCACATTTTGATTTGCTGTGCCTATTTCAGGCCTCATAAACAGCGTTGTAACTTTTCAGAAAGCAGGGGTTAGCTTCCTTTCTTAGCACTGGTTTCATGTGCTCTATCTTCTTGATTTCTATGTTTTCCTTTTTATTAGGAATAACCTGACTTTCTATACCTATATCTTTCTGCCAGTCATATTTATGAGACACTTATGTAGTAACTTTTTCTTCTTAGCTTGGACAATAGGGAAGAACAGAAAAGGAAAGGGAAAAAAGAAGGAGCTAAGGGCTAACTTCTGAGTCTGGGTAAGTTCCTGAGATTGTTGACTTTTCTCTGGTAAACAAAAGCTCAACCCCTTCTCCTGCCTAATGAATGATTCAGCTAAAAATGAAGGATTCTTTTGCTAAGACACCCCCCACTTTTGTGACTATTTTAATATTTATTTGAACAGAAGAATTTTAGGAAACAGGATGGGGGTGGTAAGAGAGAATTATAAGACATGTTCTCTATCTCAGGGACCTTATGGACTGGTTAGAGATATTACATTTAGGGCACATGAAACAATTATTGACTAGCTCATCACAAAATATAATTGTTAAGTTGTATATTAATTCTAGATGTAGTAAGAGTTCTGCAGAAGTTAGGAAAAGTTAGGGCTTGACTTGCGCTTTCAATGGGTAGAATTTATGAGAGAAGCCTGACAATCCAAGGAGTGGAGAAGCTTGGGGGAGCCAAGGTTTGGTTTATAAAAATAAAGCAATGACTCTAGGGGAAGCGTGTGAAATGACTGAAGAATACTAAACTGGGTAGATGGGGATCAAGCCTGGAACTCTCTGGACAGATAGCTGGTCCCCACAGTGACTTTTTAGTGAATTTTCACACCTATCAGATGAGAGTGCCAGAAAGGGGTAAAGGAATCAGAGCAGTAAGTCTTGGGTCCTGAATTAAAAATCAGGCTTCAGGACGCAACACTGTCTGATCATTCTGCTTTTTTGGATAGTTAAAGAAGTTGGGAAAGGCTGAGAGAGAAAGGAGATACTGTTAAGGGGAGCTGATAGTTTTCAGAAGTGTAATCTTGGAAAATATAATTGCTGTGATTTCCCATTTAGGTGATTTCCCACAGTCAATACCAAAAGTCCAAAAGAATTTCTATCTTTCTGAGCATGCCAGATGAAATTGAGACAGAACAGATCATCAAGGACATTTTCCGAAGAGGCAAAACGTGCTTTATCCCTCGGTACCGGTTCCAGAGCAATCACATGGATATGGTGAAATTAGAATCACCTGAGGAAATTTCTTCACTTCCCAAAACTACCTGGAATATTCTTCAGCCTGGAGAGGATGATATTCGAGAGGAGGCCTTGTCCACAGGCGAGTGTTACGGTGTTTGAATTTACATCTTAGGATGATGTCAGGTTGGGATGAATTGTTAGATCTCTGATCTACCTGTTACGTTTGGGACAGTGGGAGTCGCTTATCCTACAGGGAGGAATTTGTATTTCATTTATGTTCTAAGACACCCACATCACCTGGCTTGGGATGTGATGCCTTCTGTAAGCTGTGATGTATAAACTGTAATAGTTATGTATCAAGGTATTATTGACTTACCACAGACGGGGAGGAATTTGTATTTCATTTATGTTCTAAGACACCCACATCACCTGGCTTGGGATGTGATTCCTTCTGTAAGCTGTGATGTATAAACTGTAATAGTTATGTATCAAGGTATTATTGACTTACCACAGACTGTTGCCCTCACATTGTGGTTTGAGTTATAGATTTTCCCTGAATAATTTAATTATTTCCTATGGTTTCAATTATGGTCTTTGTGCTTATGAGCATATTATTAATGCTAATGGGCATTTACATCTCCTGTTCAGACCTGTCAACTACCTTCTGGACATCTCTACTTGGATGTCACATGGGCATCTCAAACACAATGTGTTCCAAACTGAATCATGTTCCCTTCAACCCTATCGTGTGTCCATCTCAGTGCGTGGCACCACAAGCCAGCCAGTTGACCATATTAGAAATTTCCAGGTTGTCCTTGGCTCCTCCCTTTCTCTCATGCCTCACATGTGGTCCACTGCCAAATCCTGATGATGTTACCTACATATTATTTATTAAGTCTGTCCACTTCTCTCCAACCCACACTACTACCACCGTCGTCTCTTGCCTGGGTTGGTGTAACAGCCTCCCAACTGTTCTTACTGTCCATGTCTTGCTCTCAATGTATTATCTAATAGGAATTGAAACAAGATTTTTAAAACACAAATCTGACCATTCTCTTCCCTGTTTAAAGCCTTTCAGTGACTTCCTGTTACACTTAGGTTGAAGTAAACATTACTCAGTGAGGCTCTTCCTAATCTTGGCCCTGCTTCTCTTTCCATTTTCACATTTTTCTACTCCCCACTTCATTGTCTAAGTTCCAGCCACTCTCAATATCTCTCAGTTTCCCATCCCCGCTTTTCTTTCTCTACTGCTGGATCTTTATACATGCTGTTCTCTGGCTAACGGCTACTGAGGTGATTTTATTATCAGGAGTCAAAGATCTGAAGGCAAAACAAGCTAAGGTTACCATTTTGAAATATGATGCCTCACAGCCATCTTAGAGGTGTATGTATTTTTTTTTCAGATTTCCTTAGTTTTTTAAAAAAGTTTATTTATTAATATTATTATTTTTTTTACATTCTACGATGTTGCAGAGCAGTTGGGGGAGAGAGGGAGAGGGGAAGGGGGAAGGAAATAGGGTGGGAGAAGGAGGAAGGAGGGCGGGCGTGGTTGAGTTCTGTGAGCGCCGCCGCGCTTCCCAAGCGGCGTACTATCCAGTGCGCCACCGGGCCGGCCCCTGAAACAAGATTTTTAAAACACAAATCTGACCGTTCTCTTCCCTGTTTAAAGCCTTTCAGTGACTTCCTGTTACACTTAGGTTGAAGTAAACATTACTCAGTGAGGCTCTTCCTAATCTTGGCCCTGCTTCACATTTTTTCTACTCCCCACTTCATTGTCTAAGTTCCAGCCACTCTCAATATCTCTCAGTTTCCCATCCTCGCTTTTCTTTCTCTACTGCTGGATCTTTATACATGCTGTTCTCTGGCTAATGGCTACTTAGGTGATTTTATTATCAAGGAGTCAAAGATCTGAAGGCAAAACAAGCTAAGGTTACCATTTTGAAATATGATGCCTCACAGCCATCTTAGAGGTGTATGTATTTTTTTTTTCAGATTTCCTTAGTTTTTTTTAAAAGTTTATTTATTTATTAATATTATTATTTTTTTACATTCTACGATGTTGTGCAGCAGTTGGGGGAGAGAGGGAGAGGGGAAGGAGGAAGGAAATAGGGTGGGAGAAGGAGGAAGGAGGGTGGGCGTGGTTGAATTCTGGGGCACCCTCTTCATTCCTGCAGGGGAGAGCGGGGGCTTCCAGTGGTGGCTTGGTCATTGCTGGGCTGGGTGCACATGTCAGGGGTGTGTGGCTGAAGCCCTTGGTCCCCTACTGCCCTGGCTTGAGAGACACCAGGGGGCTTCCAGCAGTCGTTAGGTGGTCATTGCTGGGCTGGTTGCAGATGTTGGGGGTGTGTGGCTGAAACCCTGGTACTTCCACCACCCCAGCTTGGGAGCCTGGGGCACTTCCTACAGTGGATCCTCCAGCAGTCGTTAGGTGGTCATTGCTGGGCTGGTTGCAGATGTTGGGGGTGTGTGGCTGAAGCCCTGGTACTTCCACCACCCCAGCTTGGGAGCCTGGGGCACTTCCTACAGTGGCTCTGTGGCCATCTCTGGGCTGGTTAGGGGTGTTGGGGAGGGTGTAGCCGAGGCCCTCCAGAGCCAGGGGTGCTTGTAGAGGTGTATATTTTTGACTAAGACTTAAATGGTTGCCCAAAAAGCCCAGCACAATTTTATGCAGTCTTCTTCCAATTTCTGTCCCTTCTAACATAACTTCATAACCTATAAAATTGATATGATGGAGTGGGAGGGGACAGAGTCAAGTATTCATAGTAGTAGGGGATTATCTACTTTGCTACTTTAAGTTGCCTTATATTATTCAATCTTTGGCTTTGCTAGGTGTTTAGACATTAAAGGCACATTCACATCTACCTCCTTCGTGTCTTGCATCAGTAGACCAGATGAATTTCAGCATTATGAAATTCTTTCATATCTTCAAGAGGAAAGATTACAAACATTTTAAGACAATGAGACAATAAGGGAGTACAGGGTATCTTAGGGGGTAGCCTAGGCTTATAGACAAAGGAAGACAGGAAGTTGTAGGCTCTGACGTTGCTTAAACTTAATGCAGCTACTTCTCCAGACTCTCAGGCTTAAAAGTGGAGCCCAGGGTACTTTCCCAGTCTGGTTGACTCTGTGATAACAGCTCCTTCAGTGCTTGTATCATCTCCATAATGTGCCTGCTAATTGAAATTCTACTTGGTCTCCTCCAGTGACCAGTTCCTCCAAAGGCATCCCGTTCCTTTTAGAATGGCTCTGTCTCTCCTAGAGCGTCTTCCTCAGGTTGATCTCAAATGTGTCACGTTGAACCTTCATGTATTTGTTGTAGTTCTATTCAAGTACAACAACATAAGAGTAAGTAAGAAACACGATCTGTCCTCTTAACTCGGTTGTGCTGCCTGGTTAGGGTAAACTCAGTCTAAGTAAATGAGCTAAATCATTTATATATGATTTTTAGCTCATCATTTGGACATGGAGATATTCAATAAATGGTTAACTATTATTAATTTTAAACCAGAAAGGCAGAACTATTCATTATATGACAAACTCTTTGCTAGACAAGGATTTAACATTTTGATAATTTCCAGCAGACGTTTTCTGAGCATCTGCTTTATGTCAGACACTATTTTAGGTCTGGGAAGATAAAGCCCTGGACTTCTAGGGACTCTCACTCTGGCTGGAGAGACAGACAATGTATGTAAACAGAATAAGTATCCCAACCTGTAGTATATGTCAAATGTAATTGTCAAATGAAAAGATACTGAATATTAAAAACAGAAGTTTCAGGATTGGTCCTGAACAGAAAAAATCCACTCAAAAAACTGGTTCATTTTTTTCTCCTCCATGGCATTTATCCATGATATATTTGTGGTACCAGTGGCTTTTTCCCCCCATGTGTTTTTCTTTGCAGAAACTTGCAATCTGGGTTGCAAAGGGATAGGGGATTATACCTGTAGTTTCTTGTATCTGCAATCTGGGGGCTGAAGCTCTAGTTGTTGTTTACAGAAATGTTTGAGTAGGCAGTCTCTGCTGTTTGTTACCTCCTAGCATCACACTGCACCGTGGATTTTACTTGCATCGGCAGTTTAGAATGTGGCAACTTCAGTGCTAAAGCATAAATCTAGCATCATAGTGTTTGGGACAATCCGATCAGAGCTCACATTGTCCTTGGTTTAACCTCTGTAGTCTGTTTATCTTTCTGGTTTCTTTCTGGTCTCTCACGTTATCGCAGCTTAGAAAAGAGTGAGCTTTGGTGGCCTTAGATGCAATTATAAGTTCATAAGCAAAAATTTCACATGGAGTGTTCTTATATATATAGCAAAATAAACAGATTGGTAAATGAAGTAGAGGGATTGTCTCTTTACTGAATTTATTCTCAAAGTGAGGGCTGCTTGGGTAATTAGATTAGTCAGGAATCACATTGCAAGTATATAATCTGATTCACCCTGGCTTAAGCAAAAATCAGATTTTATTGGCCCAGAGAGTGAAAAATCCACAGAAGTGCTAGCTTTAGATATGGCTGGATCAGTGTCAGTAGGAGCCCATCTATCTCTGCCTTTTGACTCTGCTTCCATCTATGTTGGCTTCATTTTCTGGTGCCACATGGTAGCCCATGGCAGCTCCAGATTTCACAGCATCATTACAGCTAGTAGTCCTAGCAGAAGAGAACAATTCTGTTTTCTAACAGTGCTAATAAAATCCTGTCCTACCTCTCAGTAACCCAAGTAACCATCCTGTAATTAATCACTGTGGCCAGGGAATGGAATAGGCTGACTGACTTAGGGCTGGGTCTTACGTGCTATCCCAGACCTATCGCTGTGACCAAGGAGAAAGGATGTGCTGACTGACTTAGTCTGGGTTGTATGCTCAGTTCTGTAAACCTGCTCAAACCACTGAGCTGAGAGTGACCCAGGTGGGAGTGACTCACCACAGGACAAAAAGGTGCTGTTTCCAGAAAAAAGGGGGAATGGATACTGCAGAGTGGAAAATCAAGCTCACCAATGCTGTCAGTCATTTCTAATATTCTATAGAATATAACAGCCTCTTCGTAATCATAGCTTGTCTGTGCTGATTTTTAATTTCTGATCTTTCTGGAAGCATTTTGGTAATTCATATCTATGTGTGGGTACTTGAGACATAAATAAATGATCATAATGGAGACTTTCTAG